TTTAGTTTAAAATGATAAAAACTGAACATCCTACAGTATTTTTACAGTCTTTATTTTACAGTTAAAATATATGTTTATTAAATGACGTCTAATTTTACAACTATTCAGGGATCCCTTTAAGGATATTTATGTAAAATCTCATCTCTGATCTTAAAGGAAATTCTCACACAAATCGGTTTAGAGCAAAAACATTGGGTCTCTGTAACGGTGCAAATTTACCAGGTGAATTTGTTTATTCCAGTGGTGTTACCACATCAACCTCAGCATTTATAACATTTGACCTGTGACCTAGTCTCTTCACGCATATTTGTAACTGAAATTGCCTATCAGGCTCTTTCACAAACCAGTTCAGCAAAAATGGCTACACAGACCCATTTGTCTTTATGCTGCTTCTGGCCACTCAAACGTCTCGGAGTCGGCCACGTCCCGCACAGATGTGAGTTTTCAGAAATGACATGAGCGGCATGGATCAGAACACAGCTGGGTTGGTGTGGACCATAACGCATTAAATGTGTAACAAACGTCTCCCTCATTGTGTTCAAAACATGAATTGACTCTGTGGTTAACTTATTTTTTTATATATTTAAGCTAAATACAAAGTTTCTTTGCTAAGCTGCATTCAGTTTTATAGTTATGCATTTTAGACAGATCACAATGAATCATGTCTTGGATTTTATTTTTCCAACATCATGTTATAATTATAACTCAGTAATTGCACAATTGGTCTTATTGAAGGAGTGACTTATTCTGGCAAAATGTGTATTTTCTTCTTGGTCCATCTTACTGAAGTTCTGACTTTTTCGGTGTTCTGAATGAATGAGCTCTGGTGAATATCTCATTTTGGTTTTGTAGTTTTTGCTGATGTTGAGTTTTGATAATTTCTGTGTAATTTTTGTAGAACTTAATACTGAAAAATTTTCATTCGATTTTCTCTCAGGGGCCAAATGCAGTGTGAAGATTAGAGCCGTTCACTGTGTCCGACTCTGAACTCACGTTCATGGAGAACGGCCCTGCAGTGGAGGAAGATAGAAGCTCCATCTCAGCTCCCTCCTGCTTTGTCCCTTTTTTATCTCCCATCATGGCAACAGGACCTGACTTCACTACTGACTCCATATTGGAGAGTAAAGCCATTGCAATGGCTAGCATTGACTGTAGCTCTATCTCTTCGCCTGCTGAAGCAAGCCCAGCCAAGCCGGCTGAAACATCTACATCCATAATTGAAGACACATTTGATCACAACTCAGATACCTCACACATGGCCTCTGCATCAGACTCCTTAAAATGCTCAGAGATGAGTATTATCAACATGTCAGATTTCTCGCCTTTGTCGACTGCATTGTCGTCAGCCACATTTGGGGCTCCGGAACTGAAAAACGACTTTCCTACTGTGCTTACCTTCAAAGGCGTCAGCGTGACGTTGGAGAACAACGGCATCTGGAAGCAGTTCAACGAATGTGGAACCGAGATGATTCTCACAAAGCAGGGGCGCCGCATGTTCCCTTACTGCAGGTATCGCCTGTCCGGTCTGGACCCCGAGCAGCTGTACAGTCTTGTCCTGTCCATAGTGCCGTCTGGTCAGTTCAAGTACCGCTGGAGCACATCCAAATGGGAGGCGAGCGGGGAGGCGGAGCACCAAACCCAGGGTCTGATCCGAGCCTTTTCACACCATTACTCGCCCTGTCGAGGCTCGGAGTGGATGAATTGCTTGGTGTCCTTCTATAAACTCAAACTCACCAACAACTTCCAGGACCAGGACGGTCACATGATCCTGCACTCCATGCATCGCTACATTCCAAGGCTTCACATTATTCCTCTTCCTGACGGGGACCCGCCCACAGCTGACAAACCTGTGGTTTTAGGACCCGAGAGCATGACCTTTACCTTTCCACAAACTGAGTTTATGGCGGTAACAACATACCAGAATTTTCGCATCACTCAGCTGAAAATTAATCACAACCCTTTTGCAAAGGGATTCAGGGAAGATGGGCACAATTCTCGACTTAACAGAATTTCTGTGCCTGTGATGAAGACGGGGGTGCAGCCTGACGATTTCAATCCTGCTGAACCAGGTGAACACCAGGAGGAGATGATGGATCTCAGGTAGGCTCTGTTTGTTACATCTCTATGAGAATGTACTTACTACATCCTTTCAGAGTTGATATTTGCTATAATGTTGGATTTATTTACTATTTACTGCTGACCTTCAGGTAATTTTAGCTGCGATAATTTCTTGACAGAAGCACAGATTTACAGTTTATCAAAGCAACAATAACACATTTAATTTATAATACCACACCTGTCCTTTCAGAGGATAGTAGGGCTGCACAATATATTAAAAATTTATCATCACAGTAACAGACTGCAGTAGACATCGCAAAAAAACAAACAAACAAACAAACAAAAAAAACAGCATAAACTTCAATAAAAGGTTGGCTCCAAAGTTTGCATTTATGCGTTTTGTCAATCAGATGGAAGCTTGAAGTATTTTACCAGTCAAATGGAGCCCTCTAGTATTTGGCCAGTTATGGATCGTTTTATATTTCCTAAAAACTCATGCTGGAGTGGAAATTATCTATTTGCTGTTGCGCCTCTGACCTGTCTGGGACTTTTGTGTCTAAAATCTAACTTTGTAAGAATATATAATATATATAAAACATATATAATCTAAGGTAGAAAATAATCCGGGAAGCACTGACAGCATTCCCAGGAGCCAGGGCTCTAGACTAAGTTTTTGCACTGGTTGCACCGGTGCGCCTAACATTTTTCCTTAGGTGCACCAGTACAAAAGTTAGGTGCACCCAAATTTGCAAACGCATGATATTTAACATTGATGTTTTAATGGTTCACTTTTTTAAAATAATTGTCCTTTAAGGCAATAATAACTCACAAATAATTTAACAATCCAGCAAAAATAAAGTTCTGTATTTGAACCAGAATCATAGACATATAACTTACTGAAAAGTAATTTTAAAGTGATTCTATGACCTGAAATTTTAACTTAAACATAAAGATAAATGTAATGAAAGAAATTCTATATTCTAAGTGCGCTAAGAAAGAAAGAAAGAAAGAAAGAAAGAAAGAAAGAAAGAAAGAAAGGCAGCGCACAGACAGCACGACCCACCCTGCTCTGTTCTGATTGGGTAAAACTTTGACTGTGGTTCTCTTTATTGGGTGAAAGAACAGTCAGTTTAATCCCTAAAGTTTTTTTTTTTTTTGCCCATTAATTTTTACCATGACAAACACCCACGGTGGAAAACCTTAATCTAGGTCTTTTTTTCTTGGTTGTCCACCAGACAACCTAAACAATGGTTATGTCAACCCCTGATATAGATGTATTTAGCATGCAGTAAATATGTAAAATCTTTTAAAGTGGCTCAAAGTACCAATATTAATGTTTACACTGGTTTTGTTATGTAAGGTTTTTTCTGTACAGGAACACAAAAACTGTAGGAAAATGTGGAAAAAAAATAGTCAGCACCAGACAAAACTCAGACAGTTGGAGCCCAGCATGTTTTGTCAAAAGAGTTTGTCCGTCTAAAAACACTCACCATTGTGTTCAGTACTGATGGATGGCAATTACAGGAAAATAATAAGAGTTGAAGCTGCTGCTGCTTCAGCTAAAATGCTTTTAAAGCATTTCTTTTTTGTTGCTGTGATTCTACTGAGCATCCATCCATCRATCGACCTTAACTGTTTATTCAGAAATCAATCAGAAGTCAAATTAACCCACCATTGCATCTTGCTTGTCTGTCTGATGTGAGTGCAGCAGACAGACCTGGTCCATGTTAGTGATTCATGTGTGGATTGTCTGCCCATGTGTTGCAAAATGTCACAAAGCATCAAGGTGCTGATTTAGCACTTTTAACTCCAGGCAGACATTTCATGCAATAACTAGTTTTCACCTACTTTCTGTGTTCTCTAGGCTCAAATACATTTTATTATTAACCAGAAGAACATATTCATTAAAATCTAGCTGTTTGGACATTTTCATAGTTCTGTACGTGATATTGAGTCAAAAGGTTTAACAGTCTCAGCAAATTTACCTTCTTTTTGTGCCCTCCAGTAATTTCAGTAAAAGGACATCAGGAATGATGCTGATACACCAGGCTGTGTACATTCTAACAAAAACACCATACATACATACATACATACAGACAGACAGACAGACAGACAGACAGACAGACAGACAGACAGACAGACAGTTGTTGAGGCACATTAAAATATTTTTAGTCTTAGGACCTGAAGGAATAAACATGGGATATACTGTAGCTGCAAAGATAAAGCTGTTAAAGATGGCTGAATTGGTTGAATGATTGAAAAGCCACAAGAGTAGCTCCTGCAGAGACAAGTTCTCATGGAAAACCTGCCTAGTGCCCCCTGGAAAGCTAACAGTGCAGAGCATTTGTCAGTACTACTTGCAGGTCAGATTTTAAGTTTCACCCCATAACGACACAGATTTTTAATCAATTATAACACTTGTGTTTTATGTAGGTAGGCAAATTTATGGAACAAACAGCAACGGAACAAAGAGCAGTCCACCCAACAACAGATTGTTTTACARTCCTGGAATGTAGAGCATCAGTAAAGTAGATGCAAAAGCCTTGATTGGATCTTTTTGCTTGATTGCATTAYCATCAGATACAGGATTAGAAAGCACATAAACTAATGTTTAGTTATGGAAAATTAAGTCTAATTTTTTTTTTAATTTTTAAGGATTTGCATAATGTTCCATCTGTTCTTTACTACATTTTAAATTTAGATGAATACACAAGAATTCCAACATGCCTGGACTTCTGGTTGATGCATGGCAAATAAAGACCTTTTTAATATCGGAACAACCTCAGATTATCAACAACACAAGATAATAAACTGTTAATCAAAATATTTGTTTTTTTTAGATGTCAGTTGTAGAAAATGAATGTTTAGATCATAACGTTGTTTTTGTTGAACATACTGTAGTTTCAATGCCAGGTCACTAGCTGGCGCTTTCTGTCTCAAGCATGAAAACAGTTCTGTGCAAAATGGCTTTTACAGTAATTTTTCGTTTGGACTGGCATTTCTAAAAACCTCCACTCGGAGACCTGCATTGCAAACGTCCGAGTAAACATCTGCTGTTACATACACAAACAGCCGGAACGAAGTAGACWCTCTACAGGCCTAAAGTGCAGACCTCCGTCTAACTGAAATGCTTATGTGAGAATTGAAGAGATGTGCATGTGTGAATGATCTCAAATCCTAATAATATTGTCAGGAAGGATAGGTCAAAACTCTTCAGTTATGTCAGAAACTACAAAAGTCCTGTATACTATGTTTACTTAAAGACAGAGATGTTCATATCAATCTTCTGTTTTAGTAAAAGAAGCTCATAGAGTACCGTTGATTAACTTTGTGTAATGATTTCTGTTTCTTTGTTTACAGCACAGCAAGTGGTGTTGCTCCTCCATCATCAAATACACAAGAGACCAAACATGTGCTGAAGCCTATAATGTCTAACCTATCTGGTAGTGGTGCCTCATTTGTCCCTTGTATTAGAGGCAAACATGCGCTGGGTGAGATTGTGCTCGTCAATAAACATGCTGATGACGAACCCAATGAAAATGGCACAGTCACCAGTACTCCTAATGTGCAGGAACGCTTGAGTGTGACGTCTTTAGCACTATCCATTACACCTGGTTCCTCAACCTCCACCCCAGTATCTACACGTCCGTATCTCAGAAAGAAGAGGAAGAAGGTCAAGAGACGTTGGGGGATAGATTACCGGCCAAGAATGTGGAAAACCGCTTCTGCCACCACCCCCACTGTAGTCCCCAGCCCATCAGTGACTGTCGCTATGCAACCAGAGCTGGATGATATTGAGGGCATGCTGTTTGCATCATTTACTACAAAGGTAAATTACAGAACAGAATTAAAATCATAGTAGTCTGATTAAAATCAGACCCTGTCCTCACTTTGCTTCGTACTAGAGTCTGAACTTGATGCATAGACAAGCATTTCATGCAGGAGGCGTGGCCTCTGCTGAAGCATGTATGTGTTGTCGCTGTGACGGAGGCTAAGCTAAGAAGCTAACAGGAAATCGCGTGTGCTGTAAACAACCCTACTGAGAGGAGAAAAGTACTGAGCCGAACGAGACGTCTGTAAATGAG